ATAATATATCAGATGCTGCCTTTATATTTTGTTAGCATCATTCTGACACCAAATCCCTTGAGCTCTTACAAGTTGCACTTGCTGCTTTTGTAGATATTTTGGGCTCTGGGCACCGTGTTCGAGGTCCTGCTGGCAATCCTGGTGATGCCCACTCTGGGCTGGCGCTGGCTGCTCGGCCTCTCCACCATTCCTCTCTTCATCTTTGCCATCCTGTGTTTTGTAAGTGGGATGTTGTCAGTCTCTAACTCTTCTACAGCATGACAAATTTTAGCTTTATTAATTGACATGTTTATTTTTTGGGGATGGGTGGGAGTAGTGGCTGCCAGAGAGCGCTCGATACGATGTGCTGACAGGGAACCAGGAGAAGGCTCTGGCCACTCTGAAGCGCATTGCCACAGAGAACGGAGCACCAATGCCCCTGGGAAAACTCATCGCGGCCAAACAGGTACAGTCTGTTCCTGCAGGACACGCAGGCTCTGGATGTAATTTAGACATTATCATGTGTGACCCTCTATCAGATTGTCTAATCATTTTTTTCGTGTCTGTTCTTTGAATTAGGAAGATCGTGGGAAGATTCAAGACTTGTTTTCGTCACACTTCCGCTGGACGACAGTGCTGCTGTGGTTTATTTGGTAAATAAGTGAATGACAGTAAAAACCCAGTCAAAACATCAGTCGCTGTTTGCTGATTTTCCTTCTAAACCTTCATGTTCTTCTAGTGATATGAAACTGTATTAAAATTTCTCATTTAATTCGAACCAGCATGTTTCATTCTGCGTTTCTGTCTCTGCAGGTTTGCAAATGCCTTCTCTTACTACGGACTGGTGCTGCTCACCACGGAGCTGTTTCAGGAAGGAGGTGCCTGTGGAAGTGAGTCAGACTCCGACAGAAGGCCTCACACACATTAGGACTGTTGTAATATTGCAAAAAGCATCACAAAAGAAATCACAGACAGTGGGCCGACTAAGTGCCGTTTGTTGTTTGATATCTCCCTCTAGTGTCCAAAGGGAATAAGAAGGAGCTCCGGTGCAGCTTGGAGTGCAAATACCTGAATTCTGATGACTACAAAGACCTGCTGTGGACGACGTTATCAGAGTTTCCAGGTAAAAAATCACCACTGAATTCTCTTCAAAATAGCATCCAATATATTCTTTTATAATTCTGGTTACTTTTAGTAGCCATTTTTAAATGTAAATTAAACGTTGTACTGATGTATATTTTGGTAATGTATTAGTTTGTGATGTCATTTTTAGTGGGTTTTGATGCAAAAAAAAAAAAAAAATTACTGCCATTATTAAAACTCATGAACTATTGATTATTATATGGATTTTTTTTAGTTTATTAGTTGTCACTTCAGGTCCTGTGAACAAATAATTATTAAGTTAATGATAGATAGATAGATAGATAGATAGATAGATAGATAGATAGATAGATAGATAGATAGATAGATAGATAGATAGATAGATAGATAGATAGTTAGATACTTTTATTAATCCTTTTGCAGGAAATTCCTTCTTACAGCAGCTACATTCAAAGACAAAACACAGACAACCCCACAAGACACCCGACATTGAAGGCACACATAAAATCTAAAACAAAATATACAATATAAAATAAAAATAAGATGAATAAATAGTGCCAAGTGTGCAAAATAAGATGGATTAAAAAAAACTAAATGTATGTCCATAAAGTGTCAGTACATAAAGTTGCATAGTTATGCAGCCGTGTGGTTTTATTGCACATTATAAAGTCTTATGGCTGCTGGCAGGAAGGACCTCCTGCTGCGTTCAGTCCTGCATTTAGGAGGAATTAGTCTGTGACTGAAGGTGTTCTGCCGAAACACCTCCATGGCATGAAGTGGGTGGGCTTCATTGCTCACTATAGAGTCCAGCTTCCTGAGCATTCTCACCCCGGCCCCCTGCTGAACCTTGTCCAGTTCAACCCCAGTGATGGAGCTCGCCTTCTTTATCAGTTTATTGGGTCTGTTTCTCTCTGCCGTGCGAGCCCCCTTCCCCCAGCACACTACACCAAAGAAAATGCTGACTAAATTGAGCTCCTGTCTGCTTGCTTCAGCAACTGTTAAGTTGTGTTTTGACACAAGCAAAGATATTCATTTTATATAATAATAAAAATTAGTGATGCACGATATTAAAATTTCTGATATCGCTGATAACCGATACTACCGATGTTGATATTCAATTTTTGTTCCCACCAAAAAAAAAGTATAAGTAGGCACTGTGAGAACATAAAAACTATTCAGAAGAAGCCCAGACCCAATTAGACCACATAGCTTTCTTTATTATGTAACAAAAGTAAAACATATTTAAACATATTTTAGCATATTTAAAGTTCACGTCCAGGACCATTTCAGTAAAAACATCTGTGAAATAGCAGCAATATCAAATGTAGAGATAAAGGCGCTAATGTTAGACAATCATCGGTTATTTACATCGGCTAAATCTGTTCATCGGACCGACACAGATATATACGAAAAAACACTAATATTGTCCGATACAGATGTGGTCGCAGATATATCGTGCATCCTTACTAAAAATTTAAGGAGAGTTTAAGCTTAAATTCAATGCTTTACTTGAAAAGTATCAGATTTTCGTATTTCGTAAACATGGAATTTGAATGATGTTGCCAATTGTGTTGATGTTCTGTAGGACTGCTGGTGACGCTGTGGGCTATCGATCGACTGGGAAGAAGGAAGACCATGGCCTTGTGTTTCCTCGTCTTCTCTCTGTGCATCATTCCTCTCTATGGCTGTGTTGGGAGGTAAAGACTTCTAAAAAAATAGACTTTATTATCTGTGGGTCCTCCTGTTTATCCACTCTGACGCTGGTTTATCTTTTGCAGAGCATCCATGACGGTGTTGATATTCATTGCCAGGGCGTTTATTGCAGGAGGGTTCCAGGCTGCCTATGTATACACTCCAGAGGTGAGATATCCAACCAGAGAGCAGCTTTTTTTTGTTTGTATTGGGTAAAAATGCAAATTTGCTCAAATCAATTAAATCAAAGCACATTTTTCTGCAGGTTTACCCAACAGCCACCAGAGCTTTAGGTCTGGGGACAAGCAGTGGAATGGCTAGAGTAGGGGCCCTCATCACACCTTTTGTGGCTCAGGTGACTCCCAGCTGCCAGTTTTATCATAACAATACAGCACCAATGAGAAAAAGTGTTACTATCATATGCTTGGATCATCTTTGGGCTTCTTCCTGCAGGTGATGCTGGAGTCCTCTGTGTACCTGGCTCTCTCAGTGTACTGCTGCTGCTGCCTCTTAGCTGCCGTCGCCTCCTGCGCGCTGCCGATAGAGACGACCGGCCGGGGCCTGCAGGAGTCCAGCCACCGCGAGTGGGGACAGGAGATGATGGGCCGGGCCTCCTCCCGCAGCTCGGGGGCAATCCCTCACTCCAGCTCCGGCTCCCAGGGGTGAGGACGCGTCGGCCGGAGCCCAGCCGAGAGGTGACCGCAGTGAAGAAAATGGAGGCGAGAAAGCTGAAGCAGCTCTCTGCGTCCCCTTCTGTGATTCCTCAGTTTAGACACCACGGTGGCTTCAGAGAGCCAGGCAGCACAATATTTTTACGACATGTCACTATACTTGTAGTCTTTAAACACCATTTGCTGTCACAATTTTGCCACTGTATACCTGCACACAGGGTGACTGGAAAGACCAAATGACCACCATGAGTGCAAAATGGTGGACACAATGAGGAAACTTTTCCTAAAGAAGCAAACATTCAAATACTTCAAAAAAAAGAAGAAAAAAAAAGTATTTGAATCCTGCTCTTCTAATGCAAGAGAAGGAAGAATGTGTTGGGAGTTCAAACAACTGTCTTCTTTTCAAAGAGCCTTAAAACTACTTATTGAGATTGTGGCTGAGAGACCTACTCTTGAGAAAGCTGCTTCTGTTAGCATACTGGGCATAGATGCGTATATAAGAAACAGCTTTATCATGTGCTCACAAATTGCCTGCTGAAATACAATAATTACAAAGTCAGCTTATTAAAAAAGAAAAAGTAAAAGTGCATTGTTGGAGTAAAGAACAAATCATCAAATCAACAGAACATTGGAACAAATCAGATCTGGGGTCATTTTGATTTAATATTCATCCTTTTCAAATCCTGTGTTAAATATGTTGTTTTCTCATTTCATATTTTAACACGACTAGTATTTTTTTCCCTGCTGAAGACACGAGGCAAACGGAGGTATGACTCTAGTAATAATGACAATACCACCTCATGTCTTTTTGTCATTATGCGGTGATATTATTTATAGCGAGCTGAAGCCTTCATCAGAGGAAAACAACATCATACAGTCGCCAGTATTTCATAATTATAGCACAAATTGAAAGAATCCACAGAACCTGGACTGCAGGTTAAGACATTCTACATCATGGCATTAAAGAATTAGGACGTTTAAACCAGAGTATAAATCCTCCTTAGTACCATTTGTGTGATTTTAGAAGATGACATTAACATGAGTTCACTGTATGATGTCATGATCTATAAACCATGCTGCATCTCTTTGCTCTGCTTCACCAGACGTCGAGGCTGCGCTAACAAAGACCCACACATGCATCTCAACGGGACGTCTTTCTGTAAATACTGTATCAATACCTGGTTTAGTTGTTGTCTTTGCTTTTGTTTGTAACAAAGGTGTTGTGGAGACGGACTTTACCCAGTCTTATTCTTCGAAGTGACACATTGAGCAAAGTTTTGTTAAAAAAATAAATAAAAGAGATGACGTAGCACAGTTCCAGCAGGCTGACTCCTACCTGTCAGTGAGATATAGTGCTGCATTAAGTGTCTGTGTGCACAGATTCTTGTCATCGCACTGGATGTAAATGTGTATGATACTATAGTAAATAATCTTTGAAAAACAAGCAGTGGATACATGTTGTTATTTATTTTAAAAAATGTTACAATCAATACATTTACCTCGCAGTTAATCTTTTTTATTAAATTACATAAACCTCTCATAGATTCAAGCATGATTTTTGTGCATATTAACGTGCCATCCTTAAATTATCGATGCTAAATCAACACATGCATTGTTTTAGGGTGGTGCCGTCACCCCACAGGTAATACGACGCTGACGTTTGGTGTAAATGTTAGTACAGATAAGAACACCGTGTGCACCGATGCTGAGGTTTGAAATAGGAGTGCATCATCACCGCTGCCAGACACAAATTTTACAAACGAGCTTTTGGACCTTTGCCTTTTTGTTCCACGACCTGACCGAAGAGCCTGGCTGCCTCCTGGGCGCAGCCTCGGTGGATGGTGAGCCCGTAGCCCCCGTGGCCATAGTTGTGTATCACCTGAATGAGTGCATCGGTAGTTTAGAAGTTGAACGACCAATATTCTTACCTGAAGTACTGCTTGGAAGTTAAAGTTTACCTCTACTGGAGCAGCACCAGATTTTATGGTTTCCCTCTCCAGTCGGATTTTGCCGCGAACAGGCCTGAGGCCGGACCAGTCCTCTACTATCCTGGCATGCTGAGGTTAGAGGACAAGCTTTTTAATGAAAAAGTCGAAACAGTTTTAAAAAGTAATAATGTGTACTTAATTTTTTTGTCTTCATGTGCTGTCAGATCTTTGCTACTTTTCTCCTAAACTGCTGACATTTTCTAAAGACTGAATTACAGCATAAGTGTTCTAAATATATCAAATGAAAAATGTTAAATACTTCAGCACTTTAGAAGACTCAATGTAAATAATTTACCACAGTTAAAACACAACGTCTCTTTATGGCCCTGTGGTATCATCTCACCTTGAGGCTCGGCTCCAGCTGACAAGCCGCATCCCAGATTTTCTTATGGTCAGTGGAGTTGTTCTGTTCACTCCAGTTTCCTACCTGGAAAGTCCCTCCAACTGTCACAAGGCGACTCCTGCAAACACACAAGTTCTGTACGCTGATGAAAACATCTCTCGTTTTCTGGCTACAACCTCAAAACAACGCGAAAATGAGCTGCGACAACGTGGTGACTGGATAACAGTGTGTAAAATTTCAGATTTAGCCATGCTGGTGAAATATTTACACCAGAGAAAGTAGAACCTCTAATTTAACCTCCTGTAAATCCAAAGGTTGCTCAGCACTACCAGCCAACACTGTAAACGCAACAAGATAAGTGTCTGTGTGTGTTGTGCAGTTCAGTGCTTATCAGTGTGTTGTGCTTGGAGCGCTACCCTGGAATGATATACGGTGTATTGTAGACTCCTTCTTTAAAATCATGAGTAATAATCCAGTGTTTCAGCCATGGAGCGTCCACCTGAAACAAAGGGAAGCGACATGGGGACACACATTAGTCTGTTGCTCCTATATAGTTGATTATATTAATCAGAGCCTCTTAAAAACTGGACCTCAGTCCACATTTGGACCAAACGTTAAGTTGGTCCCATTCCAGCCCCTGTCTTGTGTCATCCATACAACATATTATGAAGTGTAACAGTTTTTATTTAGAAATCAATAAATTGTAAGTCATGTTAAGTAAATACAGTCGTCCTCAAATGTATTCATACCCTTCCATTAAAGAACAAGCAAAATTCACAATAGTCACTCACATAAATAGAAACTGAAAAAAGTAATAATAAATAAAAATTTGCTAAATTATAATTCAGTGAAGCAAGATATTGCTTTTGAATGCTGGTTGAAAAAAATCATTAAAAAGACAAACAAACAAACAAAAAAAGGTCCAGAATTATAAATTAGAGACTTTTTTTGTTTTTTTAAAATACTTCTGTTGAACCACAATTCAAAAGCGATGTCATGATTTTCATTAAATTTACATTTATTATTACTTTTGTCAGTTTCAACTTATTTCAGTGACAGCTGTTTTTTTTCCCTTCTTTAATGGGAGGGTATGAATAAATTTGAGGATGACTGTAGTTTAGCAGGAGTTTGTTTTACAGCGATCCTGTCCCAAGATGAATGTGGTTCTAACGTGACTTTTCCATTATTGTTGACATATTTGTCGTGGCAACGTTAATTGCTGGGTGGATAGGTGTTTCTTGGCTGATATGAGAAAGAATCGACAACTCATTGCAGAGATTCAAAGGTCTGGATCAAGGAAATGGAGAGGTTGCTGCTGAGATCACACATTAGGGTTAAACCGGAGAATTTATCAGCTCTTAAATCAGCTCCAGATTCTCAGTGTGTTGGTTTTCTCCAGTACAGAACTTCTGTAACCAGTGGAAATCTATCGAAATAAATATAGACCAACTGTCTGAGGCGTATCTGCCCCACATTCATGCTGGACCAATCACAAGAGACGTCATGTTTGTCGTGTAATCAGACATCAGAGGTCAGAGGTTCTATTTGATCTATTGCTATTTTTAGGTTTACTACTTTATACATGGATCAGCTACGCCTTTAAAAACACTGATAAGTGAAGTGTTTAGTATTGTTTATATTGTTACAAAGCAGTCTTCTATTGAACTGCTAAACCTTTGCTTTCCACCACCTAAATATTACTGCCAACCAAACACACCCCTTCCTGGCAACGGCACTTCCCGACACCAGCTTTAATGGCTTGAGGATCCTAAATAATACTAGAAGGTGGTTTCAGTGATGTGGCTGATGATGCTGAATTTCTGTGTCTGTATCCTGTACAGCACTTTAGAACTTAAACGATGCTATATATACGTAGATAAAGCTCTACAGTGCCATTTCTTCCACCAGACTCATGTATTTTTAGCATCTTGGCTGCCTTTAACTTGAATGTATGTTGCTTAAAAATCACAAGTGAGCTGATTAAATGATATTTTATTTTCAATTATCATTCTAGTCCTTTGAGTGACTCGTTCTAGAGCCCCTGATATAAGCCATTCACATCCATTAGAAGCTGCTCGTGTCACCTTCACTATCTGTCCGCGGCCTGGTTTCAGGTCCGGGTCCGGCTGCAGCTCTCCTGATCTCAACCCACTGCAGTTTATGATCACATCTGCCCCAGTTTCTGCCAGCTACAAACAGTCACAGATGACAAGAAATAATAATAAGGTGACACATCCGCAGAGTCTTTCCTGAAGCTCGAAACACAAAAACATTCAACAGTAAATGTTAGAAGAAGATCCCTATTAGTAGTATTTCTTGAAACTGCATAAAATGATATTAATGAAATACTCTCACTAACCTCTTTGAAGGACTTTACTTTCCTGTGGTAAAATTTCACACCCCTTTCTTTCAACCTGGAAATAAGACAAGAAAGAAAAAAGAAAGCATTGCCTGAAAAATAAACGTGTGGAAAATAAGGATGAAGAATCTACAACAGTGTCCAAAATTCTTCAATTAGTCACTATTCACAACACAACACAAGGGATTGGGAGTAGATGATTATACAGGCTGTTAAACTGAATTGTTTAAATAATTACAAGTATGAAATTACTCTGGGTCTTTTCCAGGCACCAGCCGCTGTCTACATGTTTCTGCACAATGTGGTATTTAAATCGAAGATGGCGATTAGGAATTGTACACACTTTGCATTTTGTATTGTGGGATTGTTTTAGTGGACTACGTAAGCTACACATATGGACGATATACTAGGAAATGTAAACACAGGATGTAGTCCTGAAGTAACGGTTAAATCATTTTCAGTTGTAGATGAAGTATTCAGATCCTTTACTGAAGTCAAACTACCAATTTAAAAAAAACAAAAAAACAATTACAAGTAAAATGCTACTTAAGTAAAAGTAAATAGGTACCGGCAGCAATTCTAAGTTAAAGTATTAAAGTAAAGGTACTGGTTTGGTTTGAAATTAAAACATCAGGCGTTTCGTGGAGCTGCTCCACCAAATACAGCTGCTCTCTATAAAATGTCAGAAGCCAGTACATTTGGAAACCACTGGTTTAATCTTTAACAATGTGTTGAATATTAAAAGTTTGGTATATTATCCATTGTGTGAAATCTTCATCATAAAAGTAGTCAAAGCTGTCAAATAAATAGTAGAAAGTATAATGTTTCCCTGGAAATGTTAAGTAGCATGAAATGGAAATGCTCAAATTAAGTACAAGTACCTCAGAACTGTGAGACCTCGTGGTGAACATGTGAGATTATTAAATAAAATATGACATTAAAAAATAATACAGAACTTAAATATTCAATCAGGTGCTTCCTTTCATGTTTTATAAGGTAAGAAATAATGAGTTCAGCTTAAGTTTTGGTTAAAAAGAAGCTGATGCAACATGAGAAGTCCCTGTGGGTGAATCACTCACCAGTCCATCAGCCAAGGCAGGTACGTTTTACCTTCCACCATGAGAGCAGTGTTGAACCAGCCAAAACTGGACAAATCACAGGAGACAGATGTGTTAGAGTGCAGGAGCTGACACAGAATTATCCATCCCATCATACATACAAAAGTATTTCTAAAAGCCTCACCAGAAAACATCACAGGAGAAAGATTCTTTTTTGCATTTTTTTTTTCAAAACAGTCTCCTTTAACTTCAGTGCTCTTGGTCCATCAGTGTTCAAGATCAGCATCCCTTCATGGAAGAAGGTCACATCTAGAGCCTCCAGATAATCCTCAACAGCATGCATGACTTCATCATCACTCTGAACTTTTTTCTTCAAACATTGCAGTTTTTGAAGACGGTGATATATAAAGCTTTATAGTTTACAGTTATGCCCTCAAAATGGGAGTCACACCCCTTTGCTTCCAGGTGTGGCCGAGAACCTTTTGAAGCACCCTCATCCTGGCATCTTTCATTGGGAACCATGCAATATGTTGTTTATTAAGACAAACTGGAAATTGATTTTAATTTTGAGTTTGATATTCATAGAGAAAGGATTTGATTTGAGGAGCTACAAATGAGCACAACAAGCAGTTTCTTTCATTTGCTACCTGACATTTGTTGTAGCAAATGATGTTATGTCATAATGTTATGATTCGTGTTTCACTGTTGGCTTCGTTGGCATGATATGGACATTACCTGACTAACTATTTGGGCCCCATTTTATGTTTTATTATTGTTTTTTTTCAGCGAGGACTCACCAGTATCCAGGAAACATCTGCAGCTCTCGCTCTGTGAGCTGTCTGAAGCCGAGGACGGCATCTTTAAACGAGGGATCCTGCAATCGAAACCAGCAGAGAGAAAACATCAGCTCTGTGCTACAAATGTTTTTGGCTGTGTTTGTGTCACAGTAGGTCTGAATACAGAATCCCAATTAACCCCCTGAGTCTGAGCATAAAACGCAGCCCTCAGTGAGGCCTCCCTGTGCATGTTTCCCAACCACTACAGGCAACCATCCTTTGTGCAGCTGAACAAAGCTCCACTTCAGTGCAGCTGAAAGCGAATGGATTTTGTTTATGGTTGATATTGCTTGATTCCTGGTATGTGATAAGTTAGTTTTTTAAAGGTGACATTGTAACTACAAATACAGTTTTCATGGCACAGGACCTTTGTTCTTGACTGTAAAAGGCCTCCGACTGAGGCACAATCTTATCTTTGAGGTCAAGTTAAAGTTTACTCTCCAGGAACAAAGCACTACTCACTGGTGCAGGTTCAGTGCAGAGGTTGTAGCCGGACTGAAGGAATACACCCATCTTCACACACTCTGGTGAGCTGAGGCTGCTCAGCAAGTAGTCAAATGTCTCCTTATTCCACTTTCTAAAGGTGAAAACACATGCAAGACCAATGTGAGCTGGTAGATAAAGAGGAAAATCAGAGGACGGTTAAGCAGAATGCACTTACGTCTCCCGGACGTTGCCCTTATCATACAGGTACGGCTGCCAGAAGCCAGCAGCTCCATCGCTGGTGGTCAGCGGAGTGAACTGGTCTGCATACACCTCAATGGTCAGCGGACTGACAGTTGAGTGAAACTGCTCATAGATGCTCTGAGCTGTTGACAGACCGATGACTCCGGCTCCAATCACTGCCACCCGCATGTCTGCACTAACACGAGACACACCGACTCTTACTCAACCATGAAGGCATCCTACATGCAAACACACCAACATGTTCTTGGAGGACACAACAGTCTGGACCACAAATGCACCGTAGTGCATTCCAGTATATCAGATAAGACGTTATTACATAAAACACACAAAAACTTAAGAATGGAATTATTTGCACCTTTGAAGAGAACAAATATTGACGACCAAAGGTTGATAGCTTTGTTCTGGAAAGACACTGACAGAAAACCTGCTACACACTGGATAAGACAAATGATGTCAAGCTTTTCACTAGAACGATCACCATAGATGCTGAAAGCTAAACAAAAATAAGGAAAAGAATAATGATCCTTTACAACCTGTGTGGAGGATCTGGATTTGACAGAGAATCATGCAGAAGGACACATGTTAGTTATAAACCATGCAGGCTTTGTGGGATACTTCTTTTTAAAATGACAAAATGAATTTTAAATGACATGAAGGAAATTAAATTAATTGAATTTTGAATATTCTGCTTGTTACACTAGCTTTATTTTTCTCTTTAAAATGTACAATGTGTATGGATTACTTAAGAGGAGCAGTTCACCATTCACTCTTTCTTTTTAATATCCGATTTGTTGTTTTTTTTGTATCTTATTTTACTGCTGGGCCACTGCGCTTTGATTATGCACAACCAAGAATCTAAAGATAAGACTTTAATAATCCTGAAGGGAATTGTTACACCAGCTATTGCCCAGATTATTATTATTATTTCAACATTATTAAACATTCATTATTTAAAATTATTATTAATAATGTTGGAGATCTATTTAGAAGAAAAAGAATGCAAAAATAACACAAACAAAAAAATAAAAATAAAAAGTCACCATCATTCAAGACCTGAGTTCAGCCACTCAGCAAACTGACTGGATAACTACTGAATAATGCATCACAAGTGTGCAAAAGTTCTGCTGTCAACACAGTTTAGACTGAGTGCTGTATTATATAACAGCAGGCAATGTGTTGGATAAGTGTGCATCAAGTTTATTGAATTTTACTAAAACTTGTGCAAGAGTTGCACCACATAGCAGGTTGGCTGCACTTATTGATTGAAAACTGAAGCTCTGTTTGTAGAAAAAGTTGTTGCCTTACCTCCAGATTAGTCCTGAGCTGCTACTGTGTATCGGTGACACGGTTGAGCTGTCGCATGGCTGAGGGGCGAGGAGCGCAGCGACCCTGTACGCATGCTGCGTTCACGGCCTGTCGTTTAAACCTGCGAGTGAGAGAAACCTCCGACTTCTTGTGGTGATCATAACGCTTTGACACCGACGGTATTTTTTTTTCACATGTCAGAGGACTGCAAATGCATCACTATTAAAATAAAACGACACTGATAAAACAAATTCAGCCAGTTTTATACGAGATATCCGCTTAGATTTTGCAACTCTGCGCTGTAAATACACCACGGATCATAACTAAAATCATTAGTTTATTATCTGGTGTGATTTAAAGATTAGCAGAAGGACGAACCACCCTGCAGTAACAAGTGTCGTTTTCCAGTTCTTCCCATATACTGCGTGACTTTGGCTATTCCCATTCTGCCGGCATCCCCTGAATGCAGCACTGCACTCAGGTTACCTCGCTTGAACTTCAACATGACAAAACCTTGAAAGCATCGTGAGAATAGTCTTGACATATCCTGTAGTTCTTAAACTTCTCAGCCTCAGAAT